GCCTGCGACCATCTTCTTGACGCTACCTGGTGCGTGAAAGAGGTTTTTTGCCTCTAGCCTGACTACGTCCGTCATGAGGGAAAGTCAGTTTGTGTATTCGTCGARTCCTAGCCCAAGACGATTAGTAATGGTCGAGGGTACCGTGCCTTTTACAACATCTAGACATGATTGTGCGGTCATCTCCAAGTCARGTGTGGCAAATAGATTGTTGAGATGTGCCATCAGGTCTTTCATACTCTTGGTCCACGTGCTGCGCTTGATATAGTCAAGTCGGTATCYTGCTTGTGCAGCAGCATGTGGATCTTGATACCGTTTAATAAAGAGTTCCTCGAGTGCAGTGATTTTTGTGGCCTTCAGCCACTTGTTCATGTCCACTCTGGTGTATCCGRCCTGTAGGGCTTGGAGTTCAACTTAGCTCCGTACTTCGGGTACGACATCGGTTCCCACGACGACCGATTGAGTGACCGGGGAAGTTCCCAAAATGTCGAAGTACGCTYGCATAGCCGTGAGCCAGGACATGCCATCGTCCTTCCCGTCGTATCTAGGCGGTAACAMGGTCGCCTTCTTATCCACATAGGGAAAGCCATTACTAGGACAAGGATCCGTAAAGACTGAAACTGGGGCTGCACTGTGACGCCCAAACCTCACGCCCARCGCGACTTCCTCATCGGAGTGGAGTGTGGGCCGGGAAGTGCGAAAAGGGGTGTGCCAAGGATTTTTGGGGAAAGTGGGGGAGTCTTAAGGGCATGAACGCAATTAGGCGAGTCAGGGGTGCGTGMGCAGGGGGCTCACTGTCCGATGGGGCCGGGGCACGGTGGGCGACGGTTTACGGGGAACTCCCTCCATGGTGGGGGCGGTCCCGAAAAGTTAGGCCGTCGGGGGCCGCCACGTGGCGCAGGTCGCCGCGTGCCTGGGTTGGGCCTTCGGAAGTCYGGAGTTCTCTGTTCGCCGCTACGTCGGCAATTCACRCAAAACGTGTTGGGCCAATATGGGGCTCTGGACAGCCACGGGACGACACTGAGTTGATGGTACGGGAGAAGAAGACGGAAAGGAGGGAAACTGGTGGTGATGACAACAAATCCCAGGTGGGTGAAGTAGTAGGTGTGGTCGGGGGAAGGGAAATCATAGCACCGAGGGTCGCTAGAGGTGGCGCAGTGGAATTCCCGCGGACATAGTCGATTCTCCGTGTGACAGGGGTATCGCGTCCTTGTGAGCTCGTTTATCAGAGGGGTGAAATAGTCCGGGTCGTAGGATGAGTCTGAACTCCAAGATCGCGTCAYGGTATCATCGTTGATGGGACAGCYCGGTCGRWATATCGYCACCSCGCACAAGCACGTGCAGGGCAGGCAGCCTCAGTGGCGCCTCAGCGTGCTTGTWCGGGATGACGGTCCCGCCGCGAATCTTTTYGGGTGAGCGGGTCGACGCACGRGAATGCGTGTAAGSGMGCGRCTCGGATCGCGTTTACAYGTKTTCTCGCRCGGCGTTCGCGRKGCCAGACTTCGGAAGTTTCGATCATGCYAGATGCAACCATAGCACAACCCCCATCGTGAGATAAGCAAAAACGAGAACRAAAATCGYTATCGKKGCSAGGTTCCTATCCCATCYACAGCTGCATCAGRTGTGAGCAAAGATTYGACACAAACAAAAAGCAAGGACGGGGGATTCTCAGCAAAAAGAGAGACAAGCAGGCATAACGTCCAYGCATCCATACATTCGATAATCATACATATAATGCAAGCRGGACGGACATAACAAAGACWAGTGTGAGCRAAAACCCAAGCTCAGAAAGCCGAAACGAAAGATAAGAACGGGCAAACCGCCCGGGGCCGCAATCAAAATGTATGTACACAGATGGAGAGGGGGAAGAGACAAAGAAACAGCAGATCCACGTCCATCGACCTCAACTCTCTCCTCTTTCTATCTCTCTCCGATGCGGACAATCCGTCGTCACGCACCAACCACAAAGTTGTCACCCCGCTTGGTCCTCCCGCACCCGTCGGATTCGCCCGTGCCCACAGCCCGTCGTGGCCCACGTCAATCCCGCGCGTTCGGCACCAGCCCGTCGGATCGCCCAACTCCTACTCTACTCACCTCTTACTTCGCTCGTGTGCCGACCCTTCCTGATCGCGCAACCCCGAGCTTCCAACAACGGGTTAAGAGGGCTGACTAATTGCGCAGCAGAAATTTATAGTGTGCATGCATGCGCGGAGAACACGGAATTACCAGAACTCAGAGTGAAGATTAGAGAGGGTGCGCCTGCGTTCTGTATGATCGAGCCGCCTCGTGGGGGACGTAACCCTTCTCCACGCATCGATCCGAGCATGCAAACCGCGGCCTACGTAAATTTCAACAAAAGAAAGAGAGGGAGGGCGGGAGAGACGAAATGCAAGAAGAAAGATACAGTTACAGTGGCGCCCGCCCGAAATTACAGTTACACATTCGATTAAGGGCGCCCACTAATCAGAGTACCGTTGCAGCCGCATGAAGAAGCGCATAGACAAAAGGCGCAGTGCGGCAGGAAAAGTCCTAATTACTGAATTCCTGAATTCCTATCTAATCCGAAAAAGCAAAAAGCACAAATTCCAGAAGGAAAGTCCAAAATTCTGAGAGCCATCGGGGGGGGGGCTCGACAAAATTCGAAAAAGACTCAAAGGAAAGGTTCAAAAGAACGAAGCAATTTCCCGCGCGATGTCCGCGCCCAAAAGATCGAAACCGAAACGGAAGAACGACGTCAACATTTATTATTCGCGCGCGTGGTGGCGCGCCAGACATCCATCCGACCAATCTCTCAACCAGCCGTCCAGGACACACCCAGCTCCGACCCCAGTCATCCGACTAGAAGCGACGAAAAAGACGAAAAAGCAAGGGTACTGATGCAATTTTCCACCGATCCCGAGTTCCCGTAATTGGCCCAATCTTCCCAGCTTAGGATCCCTCGTTGCAACCGCGCAGAAAATCGCGCATTACAGAAAGTGGTTCGTCATATATGTGACGCCCAGGGGGTTCCAATATTGGCAAGCTCCTGCTTGCTTGTTGACACGTGTCGATTTCTCTAATTGATCGACACGTGGAGCAATTCTCGGTATGCCATTTACCGTTCGATTGCGTGTGGACGTCATCCAACATGGCAAGTCTGCTCTTCTACTAGTTCCTCAGATTGGGCTCTTCGACGATCCAAGGACAGGATCTTTTCTCGTGCCGTCGCCGCGACACGCGTCCATTACCGCTACATCAGTAATTAACCGGAAAACGATGCAGTAAACCTCTATATGGTTACGGCCTCGCCACGCGGCGCTAAGGAGCAGAACGTGGGGGGAGTAGTCGGGGACAGCACACCGAACGGAGGGGTGGGGATGAACAGCCAGTTCTAGGCGGGCGGAGTAGAAATGTCGGAAGGTGGCGATGGGGAAGGGATTACGGGGGTAGACGACGCGATGGAAATACTGATTGAAAGAGAGATAGCTAAAGGGATGGTGGTATATGGATCGGGGACGAAGGGCTAAGCCCCTCATTGACACGTTGACGAATTGGGGGATGGGCGGAGGCGGAGGGGGACGTGGATCGGGATCGGGATCGGCGCCTTGTCGTCGCGGCTCCCGAGGTCGTGGCAGCAAGGTCCCCATGTTCCGGCTTGGGCGGCTCGGGATCCTTGAAAGGATCGTTCGGTGCGAGATCGATCGCCAACCGCTTTCCTTCCGCGATCTTTTTCTTGCGCTGCGCAGCAGCCTCTGGGTTCTCCTCTCGCCGATCCGGTCCTGGCACCCACTCGAGCTCGTCGTGCGTTGGCCCCTGGTCGTTCCTGCTTTCCACTTCTTCGTCGTCTTCCTCCTCCTCCTCACTTTGCTCGCCCTTGCTGTATTCGCTATAGGCCTCTTCCTCTTCCTCCAAAGTCTCCTCCTCTGCGTCTTCTTCTTCTTCTTCTTCTTCTTCTTCTTCTTCTTCTTCAGCTTCCGCCGACTCTTCTCCTGCTTCGCGCTCTTCTTCCTCATCCTCGGCCAACTGGGCCGCTGCTTCCCCTGCCTCTCTCCTCAATTCTCCTTCCGATTCCTCTTCGGCCTCCTCTTCTGCTCTCAGCGGCGTCCACTCGAACGCCGTTGGTTGCCGAAAGAAGCGGGGATAAGTCAGGCTGTGGACGTCCAGGTACTCGCTACGGGAGGGGAAACGGTCGTCCGCCCAGTGCTCCTCGATACAGGCCGACCACTGGAGGCTCGGGGCGAGAGTTCTTGAGAGGGTATGTGGCACGGGTTCTCCGTCGCTCTGAGAGACGATGTCGAGAGGGAGTTCGTCGGCCAATCGCGCGATCACGATCGTAAGTTCGCGCATGATCTGTGATCGGTTTCCCCAATCCACTGCTCCAAAGACGAATCCCAGAAGATCTCCCGCCACGTTGGTCCTCCACGCCTAAATGACGAGCAACTCCACAATCTCCAACGCGGGCCCCTGATCACCTTCCCACGTCCAGTTCAGATTTACTCGTAGCAGGCAAAACGAGAGCTCGACAAATTCTGCACGCCACAGCCTCCAACGGTCCGGATTAACGATGGGTACTGTCAGTGGCTCAAGACGGAAGGAGAGACGAGGGTAGTGAGAGGACTGCCAGAAGATGGGGAAGAAAGAGGGAGGAGAGAACGTCGAGATCGGCGCGCGGCTCATCTGCGCGGTTGGAAGGGAGCAAGTTCTGGGAGGACGAGAGGTGGCTCGCGTAGCGTCGTGCGCAACGTGTTGACTTCGATGCCGTCGACAGGGTAGCACTCGTCCCCGTGCCTTGTGAGCCGTTGATCCCAATCAGTGGCCAGATCGCGACCCCACCGGTACAAGGTGCTTTTGATGGCGGCTTGCCGCGCCGGATCGAAGGCGGTGATGTCGCCGCTGAAGACCACCACGGTAGACACGTGGCTGATTCCCAGGGCTGCTCGCCGTTGGAACCCCGTTGCCTCGGCCAGCACCACTACTTGGGGATTGCTCGTGAATCGGAAATCTGCCGCGCCGTATACACCCGCGGTGCGGAAGAACTGCGCAAGGCACATGAAGTCGGGGCTGATCCGTGGATGATGCACTTGGCGGACGACTGAGATCTCTCCCTGTGGCATCAGCAACTGATCACTGAAAGCTCGCTCGATGGCGAAACTCATGGCGATGGCGGGGGCGACGGGGTGGCAGAGAGGGAGCATGAAAGAGAGGGAGATGGCGGAGAGTCAGGGCCGCCGTCGTCGGCTTCCTCAGAGAGAGAGATCGAGGGAGAAGGAGACGGAGCAGAGGGGAGGAGGCGAAAATAGGATACGTGGCGTGTGATCGGACGAGCCGATCAACTGCCAGAGACTTCAGGGGCGAGACGCACGGTGTCCACGCCGTTGGGGCCGAGCTCGATCACGCGATACCGCCCGAAGAATCGGGGCGCTAGCTTACCCTGGCGAGCACATTTCCTCACCTGCACCACATCCCCCAATTTGTACCGGGGCCGCGGACCCGCATTCCCATTTCGGGCCTCGTAGCTCCGGACCTGTCGGCCCTGGGCTAGTTCGGTCATTTTCTGTCGCTTTCGGGCTAGCCTGGGCAACGACCATTCCATTAATTCTAGGTGTCGTTTGGCCTTGTCCCGAGCCGTGGCCCTGGTGGGGTTGGTTCAATGCAGACTCATCCGGGAGGCTTGGTATCGAAATGCAAGCGACACTATTGGTCCTTAATTGGAAGGGGCTCAGCCCTGTCAATTCATGGGGCGTTCCGTGATGGACCGCCAGGATGTGATCGACGATATCGGGCCAGGGTCTCGGATCCCTGGCCGCGATGTTTCGTCGCAACGCTGTCTTTATCACCCGGTTAGCGTTTTCGACCAGCCCATTGGATTGTGACATATGGGGTGCAGTGTTACGTATGGCGGCGCCATGTAGGACCAGATTCCTTAACACTTCTCCCCTGAATTCATCCCCGTTGTCGATCAGGATTTCTTCCATATCCTGATGCATCCCGAGGAAACGGTTGACATACCGTGCGATTTCCGTGGCTTGCCGCGTGCGGCAAGGATACGCTTCGATCCATTTCGAGAAATGGTCGACAAATACCAATAGGACTGAATATTCGCAACTATTAGGGCCAGGGGGCACCACTATGTCGGTAGTGTCCATGCTCACTCTTTGAAATGGCCGTTCAACAACCGTGGGCACTATCGATCTTGGTGGCTGAATCGGCGCCTTGTCAGCGGCGCAGACTTGACAGTTGGCGTCAATGTATTTCACATCGTCACGGATATTGGACCAATACCACTCATTTTTGTCGATAGCGGACTCCGTGATTCGTACGGCAAAATGGGCCGCAGTTTCCTCGTGGGCTGTCTTAACCCATTCGTACCACATGAACGGATGAGGCACTACCATCCAAATCCCACTGCCGTCCGTTTTCCGTTTTTCTAATCTACCCTCTATCCATCGATAATCCCGAGCCCTTTCGTTGGCCCTCCTCCGATCTTCCTTGGTGAAATCCTGGAGGGGGTTACCTACTAGGGTGGCAATTAAGGCAATATCCGTCCATACTTCGGCCCTTCTAAACTTCCGGGTCTTTTCCAATCCTTCTGACGTGGCATCCAAAAAGCGAGCCTCGGTCGGAATCTTGTCGGTCCGGCACAAGGGGCACAACCATGGTTTACTATCGTTTCTGTATTGGATGCACGAGCCATGGGCTCGTGCAACAGACTGTCGGCAATCTATCCAATCCGCATACCCTTCCCCGTTAGGACGCATGGAGACCCCGTATACGCGGGAGATAGCTTCGCAAAAGTAGCAAAATTTGTCAGGCAGGGAGAGGAGAGACGAGGAGGAAGGGGGAGAAAGAGGGGTAGTGGGGTTACCTCCATCACCCATCGCCACCGTTTTGCTTCTTGCCACGTGGGAGGACTGCCACTTGTCCGTATTTCGGCTCGTTGGTCAAGTCCGGCTCCTTCCACGGTGTAATTTCCTCGCCCTTTGGTACCTTGACAGGTCGGTGCAGACGTGTCAGCCCGTCCGCGTTGCCGTGCTGCTCTGTCTTTCAATGGACGATATCGAAGTCGTATTCTTGTAGTCACACCGCCCAACGGCCAATCATGCTCGTGTAGTTGGTGAGTTTCTTCAGCGCTAGCAGAGGCTCGTGATCCGTTACGAGGCGAAACTTCTGTCCGTAGAGATACGGATGGAAGTGTTGGATTCCCCAAACTACCGCATAGCACTCACCTTGAGGTGCGGAGTCGTTTCTTCGTTCGTCCGGTACGGTTCGAGACGCGTACTCGATGACGTGTTCGCGCCCATCGTTCCCCTTCTGTGCTAGAATAGCGGAAATAGCTTCCGGTTGCCAGTCCGTGATGAGAATGAACTGCTTCGAGGGGTCCGGCCGTTGCTAGAGCGTCTTTGAGGGTTGCAAAGGCCTGCTGGCACTCCGCGTCCCAACAGAGAGGCTGGTCCTTCCGTAACAGATTCGTTAGCGGTCGTGCAATCGCGGCAAAGCCCTTGATGAAGCGCCGATAGTACGACGCCAGCCCCAAAAAGGCTCGAACCTGCGTTAGTGACGTGGGAACCGGGGCTTCCTTCACCGCCGCAGCTTTTCTCGAGTCCGGCCGCAATCCTTCACGTGTCACGACGTAGCCCAAGAACGAAATTTCCGAGAGGAAAAATTCGCTTTTCTCGAGCGCAATCTTGAACCCAGCATCTCTCAGTGCGCCCAATGTCCACTCGATGTGTTGCGCGTGCCCGTGATAGGTCTCCGAATAGACCAGGATGTCGTCCATGTACACGATCACACAGAAGTTGATCATCCCTTGCGCCAGCCGTGTCTTGTTGACGAAATTCGGGAACGTCATGTTCATCGCTCGCTGAAACGTGGCAGGCGCATTGCAAATCCCCATCGGCCACCGAACCCACTGCCACGTGCCCTCAAACAACACAAAGGTCGTTTTCGGTCGATCTTCTTCCCTTACCAGAATATGATGGAAGCCATGCCAAATATCAAACTTGCTGAAATAATTAGCGCACCCAATCGCATCCAACAAATCATCAATCCGGGGGAGGGGATACACATCTTTGATCGTGATTTCATTCAGCTTGCGATAATCAATGCAAATGCGAATCGCCCCGTTTTTCTTCGGCACTAATACTACGGGAAAGGACCAAGGTCCGATAGCGGGTTCAATCCAACCACTGGCTTCGAACTCCCGAATTCGTTCGAGAGCCTTTTTGCGTTCAATCAAGGAATA